CTGATGTGAGTGTGTCAGGCTATGTGTGGCTGAGTGGCGTGTGAGTGGAGCAGGATGGTGTAATAGCACAGAGAAGTCAGGTGGGTTCCTCAGCTATCCTCGATACGAAGGAATAGCAAGACATCCTGAGTCTGCTTCTGCCAGTAGAAGCGCTGCTTCTAAAAGTTAGTCCCGCTTTGGTACAGGAGGTCTACCGGCCTCTGTCTTCAGGATCTCTGTCGATGGCTCTTACTGTCTCCCTTTCAAGTCTCAGTGCCCAAGTATTGAGGGCCACAGAAGGGCTCCTCTGCTCAGATACTTCCTGCAGCCGGGTCCATATTACTGACCCTTCCATGGCGTAACTGACTTAGGCTAGAAGGAGATAGAGGGCTCCACTCCTGATAACTAAAGATGGGTGCTGCTCTTAGTAACCCCATAGGCTGCTTTACCAGGGGACCTGTCTATCTGACAGAGTGGCAGATTGCCTCAGAGGATCCCCGTTTCCTGCTTAGTTAATGCAGGGAGGGCCACCTCAGCCCCGTCTCTCCACTGGGCCCAGAGTGTGGCCATATGTGTGTCTACCACTTTGCTTTCAAAGCTCCTATCATTTCTGTTTATTACCTCTGGACCCCAGAGTGTGGCTGGGAGTGAGACAGTCGTGCAGGACAAAATTAATGGCTTTGTTTGGAAGTCTCAGATGAGAGAGAGAGAGAGAGAGAGAGAGAGATTGGACTCGGGAAAGCGATGCCTCATCTCGTAAAATCTCACTCACCAAACTAATTTGATGGTCAGATGACTTGGATACTGGCCATTGACCCAAGCAAAAGTCAAAGGCAGGTGACAATGGATCTGCTGGGAGGAGGCACCAGGAGGAGGCTGTGTGAGCTCCAAGGCAGGGTGACTCTTAATTAAACTCTTGTCTGATGAGCAGTATAACTGGACCATCAATAACTGCTGACAGATGGATCCAGGTGAGGGGTCAGCGGGAAGGAGAACTGGGGCAGTCAGTTCTGCCCATGTGGATGCTAATGCCCATCAAAACCCCAGACCTCACTTTCCCCATCTCTCCTGTTTCATGGGAATGTATAAATGCCCAACAGGACAGGACTGCTGGTGGTACACCCTGTTTGTGTTTGTGGAGTGTTTGACCTGGGTACTTCTCTGTGTGTCGAGGGCAGTACACAGGACTTGCACACTGCACAGTCCCTGGACTTCTGAAGCAATGTCCTTGTATCTGGAAATGCATGTGAATATATATATATATATATGTGTGTGTGTGTGTGTGTGTATAAATATATATACACACACATACATATATTCACTCTGTCCACACATATATACATATATGTGTATATATACTCATATATATACACACACATATATATGTATATATAAGTATATGTATGTATGTGGACAGAGTGAATGCCTACTGCAGTGGCCACTTCATAATGTGCTTGAGAAATCTAAAGAATCTTTCTCCTCCAGGCGGAGCTCTGTGTGTGAAGGGGGGTGGGTGGGCTGGAGATGAAGCTGCACCCCTGTGGAAGAACAAAAACTCACTCCTTCTTACTAGGTGTCCCAGGCCCCCAGCCGCCTTTCCCTTGTAATAAGGAGGGAATAATGCTATTCCTTATTCTTTATTTGCCCAGAGTGCCTATGATTTTCTTTCTTTCAGAATCCAATTTTCTCTTGACATTTCTGCCTGTTGTAGCAAAGCATGACCTTTGTAAGAGGACGTGGCTGGCAGCCTGTTTTCTGCCTGGGGCTCCCCAGAACTCCTGGAAGGCTCTCTGCCTGTTCCTTTCTCGGAAAGGAGCCAGGCTGCCCAGCGTACCTGGGCCAGTTCTGCCTCTAGGATGTCTTGTTCCTAACAGAAGCCTCTCTCACCAGAGGTGTGCTTCATCAGAGGCATGCTTCTCTGGGCTCAGTGAGCATGAGGTCCCCCGTAGGCTGCCAGGGCTCAGATTTTTGAAGCGTAGATTTTGTACAGTGGAATACTGAAGAAAACTAGGGAACTAAAGGTGCAGGCTGGGAACCTTTCCAGATGTCTGCCAGGATTCTCTCGTGATTTTGAAGTTTAGGAATTGTTTTGTGTGTGTGTATGCATGTGTGTGTGTGTGTGTGTGTGTGTGTGTACATAGATACACATAGAGGTGAATACCAGAGGTCAGTCTTGGGGATATAATCTCTTTTTGGAATCTGGAATTCTGTGATTAGAAGAGGCTAGCTGACTGGCAGGCTCCATCTATTTCTACCTCCCCAGTGCTTGGGTTACAAGTTTGTTCTGCCATACCTGGCTTTTTTACATGTGTTCTGGGACTCCATCTCAGGCAAGCATTTCCCTGATGGAACTATCTCCTCAGCCCCCATTGTTCAAGTGTTGCTCCCAAGAATGCTGTTGAGCAGAGACAACAAGCAGGAAAAACAGAGACAGTAAAAAGGCTTCTTCCTGGCTGATCCAAGCACTCACATTGGCTGCAACATCACAGGCTAACGGCAATCAAGACTCAGAGGCTAGCAGACTGGTACTGAGGCCCATGGCCTTTGATATCAACTTCTGATGTCCTATTTCTTCCTGTTCTTAGGTTTGAGTATCTGTTCTTGTTTCATATTGAACACATCCTCAATTCTGTAGGTCTCAGTAAAACACATCTCTCCAATACACTATTTGGTTTTACTCTCTAGTTATCTAACAGGCATCTCAAGCTTAATGTTCATAAGAAGTGGGGAGCTCTTCTGTTAATACATTAACTTTTACTAATAGGTAGATATTACTTGTGTAAAGATGGGTTTATAGTGATGTTTTTAAGCCTGCATATAGCATATGAATTTGTTATATCCATCTGCCATTACCTTCTCTTGCCTTTCCTCTGTTATCTGATCCAAGAGGATCATTTTGGTCCCACTGTCCAAATGTGATTAGCTATTAGTAGGCTTCTTCATCTTACTAAATGCCCCGGTAGTCAACAATATGTTAGTGACTTTCTTGGTTGTGTGACATAAGGCTTGACATAAAAACTTAGGGAAGAATATTTTGGCTGATGGTTTCAGAGAGTCCATGGTCTCTCCGTCTCATGTCCTTAAGTACCACAGCATGGTGGTGTGTGGAAGGCCGTTCACTTCTTGATAGATGGGAGGCAGACAATACTAGAAGGGGTCAGAGGTAATACATTACTAAGGACGTAGCCCTGGTGATCTACCTCCAGTATTCTTGACTTCTCAAACTAGTGCCGCCAGCTAGGGAAGAAACATTCAAAACACTTATCTGTGGAGGCCATTTCAGATTTCAACCATAATACCCACCACTCAGTTCGCTCTCTTTTTTCCCCAGAGCTAGCTGCAGGTTCTGATGGCGTTACCCCAAGCACTTACCTTCAACCCATCTCTCCTGGTTTGTTTTTTTTTTCAATTTCTTCTTTTTTTCTTTTCTTTTCTTTTCTTTTCTTTTCTTTTCTTTTCTTTTCCTCTCTCTTTCTTTCTTTCTCTCTCTCTCTCTCTCTCTCNATGAATTGTAAAGAAAATATATGATAAGCGGGATATCTGATATGTGTCCCCTGTGAAAGTGTCATTCAGGCCCAGGAGATAATGACCCATACATGGGCTTAGAACCACGAATCTTGTAAAGCAGCCCTCTACCACTGAGCTACACTCACGGGCCACACTTATTCTTCTTTTCTTTTCTTTTCCTCTCTCTTTCTCTCTCTCTCTCTCTCTCTCTCTCTCTCTCTCTCTCTCTCTCTTTCTTTCTTTCTTTCTTTCTTTCTTTCTTTCTTTCTATGTGTGTGGAAGCTAGGTAAGGTCTCCTAACTAGCTTGTCAACTTCCAGCCTTGGTCTTCCATTTTAAAAAGTGATGCTTAGTTTATGAAACATCCCCACTCAGTGCTTGCCCCCATTGCTTTCTGTTGTCTCCTCCCAAGGTCTGCAAATGTGGCGGGAGTCCCTTTCCTGCTTCTCCCCAGTCCATCTCTGTAACTGTTTCTCAGCTCATTATCAGTCTTTCTGTTCCAAGGTCTCTTGTTAACTACTCAAGCACCCAAGTGAAGTAGCCAACTCCCAATTGCTCTTGTCATTTTGCTTATACTATTCTTTATGCTCATTCATTTGTAATTTGAAGATAAGGTTCCATCTTTTTTTGTCAATGGTCTACCACCCAGACCTCAGCATAGCCTATATCTGACTCTTCTACTTGCTGCAGAAGTCACCTAAATATAAGTGCACATGGACGTGTCTGTGTGTGTGTGTGTATGAACAAGAGTATGTGTTTGCATTGTTACCTGTGTGCTTAATAGATTCAAATATACACGTTTGTATATGGATGGATAGTTATCTAAATGGAACCCGCAATGCCATCCATTCCCATCAGCAAATGAGTACATTGTTCCTGGGTTGCTACTTCATTTCTTGCAGTGCCTAACTACTGCCTTTAAGGGCTGTTATCACGTCCAAAGTTGTTTGTTGAGCCGGACAAAGTAATAACTGTGGGCGTGTTGCCTCTTTTATTCAGAAGACTAATGGCTGCTCCCTTCCCCTGTCCATCCTAATGAGAACAATTAAATAGCCATTAGGAGAAGAGATGTGTGAACAAAAGGCTGATGTCTTGATCTCTGGAATGGGCATGTGTTCTTGGGGAGGGGTGGGTGAGAAGTTTCAAGGAACCTGAAGATTCCCTGCCTGTGTGGATATAAAGGATGCTGTGGGCTTGGTTATCTCCAGGACTATTGTTTAGAGAAGGCTGCTTCCAACAGGCTCCCCGAGGTTTTATTAGAGGGAAGTGTGAGAAGTAAGCAAGAGAACCATATTGTTTCTTGGATGTGTGAAACCTTACCCTGGAGGAAAGGCTTCAGCATCCCCTTCACAGCTGCCCAAGGTCTCAACTCTTAGCAGGCTTATCCTTTGCAAAACTGGGTGAAGAAAAAGAAGTGCACCAACGCCTGCCTCCAGGTGACTGAGTCCTCCACGGAGGGCATTCCTGTTGCTGGCTCTGTCCTTTAACTACCCCTTTATTTGTCTATTTTTGCAGAAACTTGTCAAGTAACCGGCTCACCACGCTCTCCTGGCAGCTCTTCCAGACGCTGAGTCTTCGGGAATTGTAAGTTCGGAATTGGAGGCTCTGTCCAGGTGGCGGAGTGCTGGTAATGGTCGGGTGGGGAGGAGTGTCAGGCATTGGAGTGCCTGGTGGCTGGGCTGTTTGGGTTGGGTAGCACTGAGCATACCATGTTCAGTGACAGTGATCCACCCCCATCCGTGGACTTGACTTTTGATGCACACTCTGTTTCAAAAGACAGAAGCTCATCTTTTATCAGCCTTTGGTTTTGTGATATCAATAAATTCCTAATAAATATTATTTGCTATACATAACTTTGTAACTTTATCAGGTATGCTTTTGTTTATATGATCTTAGATTTAGCATAATAAGAGTTAGAGAAGGTAGCTATAATTTTCTGCATTTTGTGGATTCAAAGTCCTAGGAACCCCCTCAAGAATCAGCGACAGTTGCACTGCTAAAGGACTTGCGTAATTGATACTTGAGCATGGCCTTCCAGCTTCAGACTGTATGGCCCTTAGAGTGCTCATGAACTCACATCAACTCATTTGGCTTGGTGTCTGGGCATTGTGAGCATGGAAGAGGGCATATATTTATTTTATCTGTGTGTGGACTGCTCGGCTTTGCTACATTCCAAGGTTGATCAGTGCACTCTTACCCTAGCCAGCCATTTTGTGCAAACAGATGTTGGCTGGGTGAGTGCAAATTCGTGACCACTGCTGGAGACAGGAGAAAATAACTCATGCTGCTGTGTGAGTCATCAGGGTCCTCTCTGCGCGTGAAGGACAGTGTATTATGAGGAGGGAATAAATCAAGGAAATTTAAAAGGAACTGAGGCATGGATGGAGTTAGGGAGTCTGGGTTTAAGAGAGACTGCTCATGTGTTCCTTTTAACTTGGTGACTCAGATCCAAATTCCCTGTCTGTAATCACAGCATTTACCAGGAAGCAAAGACCTTGGACCTCTGCCTTGGCTATGGGCCTTTTATCTTCTTTTCCCACCTGGCCAGACCTATGTTCATGGATAAGTTATAACCTTGATTTTTCAGATCAGACTCATTACCCTTGACAGCTTTGCATATTATCCTTGGTCTTGTGGCCTGACTGTTCACATGATCCTTTCCTGAACCATCTCAGGGATGGATAGAGAGAGATGATCATTTTGCAGGTATTGCTAACTGGGATTCCCGGTAGTCTCAGTACCTGGAAGGTAAAAGCAGAAGGATCAACAGTCATGGTTTAGCCGAGCTACATGAGTTACAGGCTAGTCAGTCTGGGCTGCACAGTGAGACCTAGTCCAGAAACAATGGACACTATTACCGTATATTGCTTTCCCTTCTTAGAATTGTGTCCCTCCCTGCTAGGCTCTGACTCTGATATTCTGGAACGGGCAGCAGCAGACCTTGTAGCCAGAGTTCTTAGTCCCGCTTCAGTTGATATCTAGATGGGCACCAGTAGGCTCTTTTAATAGCTAAAGGAAGGTAAACAAATTCGTATTTATAAAGCATTCTCCATAACAGACTTTGTCTCTGATCTCTAATGTCAGAGATGTCATCCTTGTATTCTACTCATTCCCATCCTGAATTAGATGTAACTTCATGGAGGACCTTAGGGGTAAGTTGGCACGGCCACAGCAATGATTTCCTAACTCTTTTTTTGTGCCGGGCACTGTGACAGCAATCTATTGAATTATGTATGCTATTTGATTTAATCCTTAGGACAATTTTGTAATGTAGACATTCTCACTACCATGCCACATTGGTGGACACTGGGTTACTTAGCAAGGGAAGACTCTGATTTTAGGCCACCCATGAGATGAGCAGTAGTTGTGTAGACTCAAAGCCTGGACCACTGCGCTTAACTGTCCTCCATCGTTTTTTTCAGCCAGTTAATATATCCTACAAAAGGCGTGTGGCTACGAGTCTTTGCTAGGTGTCTCTCTGCATCAGTTACATTTTTACTGCTGTATCATTACATATTTTCCATTGTGCAGATAAATTATAGCTTTGCTTTTCCAGACCAGTGGGTGGAAGTGAGACTGACAAGATACACAAGAGAGAAGCAGGGTCTGTGTTAGCTTATAGCTCGAGAGGATGTTGACCGCCATGGTGAGGAAGTCATGGCAGCAGCTGTGTGGAGAGGAAGCAGAGAGAGATGAACGCTATGCCCCACTTAACTGTTTCCCTTTTACTCAGCCCAGGACCCCAACCCGTGTAATGGTGCCGTACACATTTCCGGGCATGTCTTATCTCCTCAGTTAACCCAATCTATGAACCCCTTCATAGATAGATCCAGGAGCATGTCTCTTAGGTGATTCTGAATCCAGTCAAAATAAACATGAAGATGAAGCAGGTACTAGTTAGTTTTCTGAGATAAAGCACTGTGAGCCATGTAGCTTATAAAAAGAATATCTGGGTCTTATCGCTTCTAAGGGATAGGAGTCCGTCATCAAAATGGAGCAGGGCATTACAGCTGGCAGTCAGTCATGACACTAGAGGAACAGCAGGAAGCCAAGAGAATACACTGGGATGATTGTGGGCTTTGGAAACCTAACCCTACCCCTGTGACACACCTCCTTCTGCAAGGCCATTCCTTCTAACTCTTCTCAGACAGCCACCAATTAGGGACCAAATTTTTAAATGCCTGAGACTTTGGGGGACACTTCATTAAAACCACAACAAAGCATAATGACCTCAAACTGATTGGGGGTAGAAAGTCCATCTTTTTGCATCTAGTTCTCCTAGAATCTCTGCTCCTCAACCTAGGGGAGGCCAGAGACAGTATCCCCCCAAAAGATGTCAGGGTCTGCTAGAAGCTGAATCATCGAGAAGATGTCCAGTGTTCTTTCTAAGAAATCACGGGTTATGAAATCAGTGGTGTGCCGCCCAGACACCCTGCTTCACGGAGATTTAGAAACAGTTGTTCTGTGAATATATATTTAAAGGAAATGTCACGTTTCTCCCAGAGGATCATGGGATTCTGCATTCTTCTTTGCCTGGGATCAATACACTGGTGAACTGGATAAAACTTATGGAGGAATGAAGACATTCCTTGCAGAGCGAGGCAGTTTGTGGGTGCCACCATACCCAAACAGCATTTTGTTTCTGTCATCGTCTTAAATCAGAAAAAGTCATATTGGCGGATGAAGAAGCTCCTCTCTAAGGAGCAATCACGCTGGTAGGGGTCTAGTGTTTGAGGAAGAATTGAATGTTGAGAGTGGAAAATTTATCTTTGGGCTGGAGGGGGCTGTGCGTTGGCTCTCAGCTGTGGCTATGATTAAAATCCAAACAATCCTTTTCCTGGCAAATGGAAGAGGGGGTAGGATTTTCTTGTCTGACTCCTTGATTAGTCCACATGGCACCATCTGCCCATGAGCCATCTAGACTGCCAGGGTCTGCTTAATGGAGCCCGTGGGATTGGGGTTTAGGGATATGTCCGGTGTTGTCGGGATGAGATTTGGCCTTGCAGGAGAGGGACTCAATGCGCAGTGATAGCCAGAAGAGTCACAAGCCAGGCGAGTGAGATTTCCAGTGAGTGTCTGCAGAAACAGACAGGGTAAATGGGATAGTTAGCCATTTCTTGGCACAGCTCCTTCTTCCATGAAGGCCCTTTGGAGGGTCTTTGCCATGCCCCAACCAACCTCTCTGCTATGGCACAATCTGTGATGTTACAGTTGATGCTATAGTGGACATAGTTGAGCCCCTCATTAGAAGGGCTAAGTATGTGTAGCGTTCCACCAGGGAAGGAGAAGAAAGTCACTCATTGAGTAATGAATATATACAGGATTCTGGCTCATCCTTGAAGCTACCCTACAAGGGAGTTGCTATCATAACCCGTTTTGCAAATGAGGGATTCAAGCCTGAGCCAAGTCAAGTAACTAGACCAGGGTCACATAGCTGGTGAATTGGTAATTTGGAGACTAATGTTATCATTTTTAGGATGACCACCACCTGAAAGCACTGTTTCCAAAATCCATTCTCTTTCAGCTCCTAACTTAGGATGAATGTTTAGCATGTCCTTCCAGGAGCCAAGATGGCTGTCTCCCCCGATTGGAGCCATAGGAAAGCCAAAATCACCTCAGAGCTCTTGCTGTGTGCCAAGACCCTTGTACTTTTAATTTCCGTGAGATTGGAGGGAGGACTTTTGGCAAGCGCCTGACTCAGTCTCCCTCCAGCTTAGGAAGTGCCCTTCCTACTGAGCGAGCTGAGAGTGTCTTCTGAGCTTTGGTAGATTTGACAGAGTATGGCTTGGCATTGTACTGTACTCAGGAGTTTCTGGTTAAGGCAAGATACTACTATTTTTTTTTCTCCTGAAATTAGAACTGTCTGTCCTAAAATCAGCAAGATTCTGAGAGACTATCTTAGAGATAAAGGATGAGTTAGGAAGAAAAGTTGCTTGAAGTTTGAATCCCATGGTACACCTTAAGTGATGGCAAGAGGCACCAGAGGTATATCAGCCCACACCGTAGAACCCTTCAGAAACACTCCGAGGATCGTGAATACACAATGAGCAGGCTTCTCTTAATACCCCGCAGGCATGGAACAGACACGATTGAAATAGATTGGAATATTTCATTCTCTTAAAGCAAAGTGATAATTACCTCTGTTATAATTTGCAGATTTAATCGACTTGGTAAACACTAACTCAGTATGGAAGGAGGCTGGGCTGCTCCTGGCACTGTCCTTCCTCCCAGTCTTGGTTGTGATGACTTTGAAAGCTATCAGACAATACACCAAGCCATTCCATCACTAGTGCTATTGCTGCCGTGGTCATTTCTGGCTTCGTTATGACTCCCTTTTAATCCATAAAGCATGGAGTCGCGTATTAGCACTAATGTAGAGAAACGAGGAGGGACACACTCATCTCTGTCTTACAGACTTTAAAGTTGAGTCTTCGGGGGAGGATTCTCTGGCAGTCCCATTTCTGATAGGGGCCTTCTAAAGTCCCTGCAAACCCGGCCACTTCAAAACAACAGAAATGTTTTTGCTCATCGTTTTGAGACCAGCGATCTGAGTCGGTATTATCAGAGGCCCTCTACCTTCTGAG